AGTCGTTTAAGTTTCGTACGATGTCGTATATTTGAATGAGCATCTTCCTCAAAGTTCCCGAAAATTTTTCTATCATTGTAAGCCAGTTTTCTTGAAAGCTTTCTTTTTTTCTTCACTCTTTTTTTTCCTCTTTTGTAAATTATGCTGTGCTGGTTTCATTCTGTGAATATATTGAAACTAATTTTTTCTAAAATAAATGTGTCAGTAATACTGATGTTGTTTTGGTGACGCATTTGTAAAAGTCTTTTAATACCACTGGCAGTTGGCTGGTTCAAGTTTGAAGAGAGTATATGAATAATAGATGGGTAGATCATATGTGTTCAGGAATGCCACGAATGGAAAGCTTCAGCAAATGCAATTTTGTCATCACGGCTTTGAGTTCAGTTGTCCGCTTTGTGCCTATAAAAAGGTGTTCTGTTGCACGCAGTATAATGGGTCCAGAAATTTTTTTTAACAGTCACCACTTGCTCTGCTCTAGTACCAGTCTTTGTTTTGCTTCTTTTGCTCTAGCACAGGATTTATTTTGAAAGCTTGGATAGGGATTATTGTTTTTTTGCAACTTGCAAATCGGTTTTTTTTTCTTTGGACCGCTTTTCTGTTTGTTTGCAACTTATGAAGCTCAGATGAAACAGCACAAAAGTATTAGAAGTGCGTTGAAAGCAAAGGAAAGGAAACATTGAAAGTATAAACAGATGTCAAAAAAGAAGTGTAAAGGAGAGATAGTCTTCTAAATATTTAACAGCTGTTGATATGATACTACAGTGTGATATAGTCCATTTTAACTCTTATGACATCAGAAACAGAGTGTCTTCATAAATTTGTCAACTCATACCAAATATTATTGGTTGATCAAAGGGCGCAGTTAACTTTCACTTACAAGATATTGCTGCAAAACGTGGTTAATCAATTATGGTTGCAAATAGTGTGTTTTGGGTTTTGAGGGTTTGTTCAACCAGGAAATTGAGTGGAGATAAAACTTGTGTAGTTCTCTTTAGAAACGTTTTTTTTCTTGGTTAGTTTGTCTGGTGGTGAAGATGACAATATGGTGGTTATGATGATGCATCGTTTGACGTAGAATATGCACACAGGGCACATTTATCAATAGTTCTACTTACGTATTTTTGCTGGGAAATCTATAAGCATTGCATTGCTCAGACAAATCAAAAAGTTTTTCTACATTTACCTCCCAATCCTTCTCCTTTTTCCCCCCGTCTTTCAGCATTATGGTTTTCTCAGTGTTTAAGCACAGACCACTGCTGGTAAGCTTTGTTTTTGAAAATAAATTGTTTTTAGAGTGAACCGGCACCGTCGACAATTAGCTTTGGCGATTTACAGTCGGTTGGTAACTGTCACGAGGAATGCATCGGTTGCAGTGAATCGCGTTCATCAACTGCCTGCTTTGCATGCAAACATCTTACGCAAACACTAAGAAATCGAGCAGGCTTTAAGTACGTTTTTATTCCGCTACCGAACTGTTTTAGTATAACTTTTCGTAGTTTTTTGTAACTTTTAATTTTTTGATGTTGCTTTTGGGAATTTCAAGATATTGTTGGTACCATGAGAATAAAAAGAAAAACTTCTAAATTACAGTTTTTTACTTTATTTGAATTCTGATATAAAAATCTGATTTGTAATATTTTATGACTGCATTTAAAAAAAAAAGAACAAGGTTAACACAAGTTTTTAGGTGCGTTGCACGATGCGATGAAGGCTATTTTATTGAAGATGACAAATGTCGTGTTTGCAGTACAACTTGCAAGACTTGTGTTGCTGCAGAAAAATGTGAAACTTGTCATGGGGCAAAGCTACTTATCGACTTTGACCATTACAGTCATCAGGATCATGGCACATGTGTAGACAGTTGTCCAGAAGGATTGGAAGCTGATTGTAAGTTGGCCACTTATAGCTCTTCTACTGCTAAGGTTTAACTTTGGTTATTGACTGCTTAATCTTTGTTAAAACTTTAACAGTAATCAAGTTCTTGAAACAAAATATTTTTGGTCAGTTGATCTGCTAGTGATTTAGTGAAATTGAAGGATTGCGTACTGTAATGATACTGATAGATACATTTGTGTAAGAACGGATATGGTGCATATAAGAGTTTTTTGTATTATAGTAGGTTTTTTCAGACACCATTGCAGTACAGGCAAGATGTATACCGAAAAAAAGCAGATGTGCACCTGGTTATTATGAGGAAGTAAATCAGGCTTGTAGCATCTGTGACGAAGCTTGCCGATTATGTCATGGTCCAGGCCCGACAAAATGTGACGATTGCGCAGAAAACTATAGTAACCGTTCAGTTGGATATTGCAGACCGTGCTGTATCAATGGGCAAGATCCGATGAATTACCATTGTGGTAACTTTTTGTATATTTTATAACTCTATCTTTTCCATATTTAGCTCTATAAATTCAATTGAACGCTATACGTTGTACAGTGTCAAAGTTAAATCTGATTGAATCGATCACGATTGTTTTTGTAGAAGACTGCGTGAAGAGTGCTCTAGAGGAAGCACGAAGAAATGCTCGTCATCCAGTGCGAGCATTTTTGCTTTATTTGATGTTAGCATTGATTGGTATTGGAATTTTGTTTTTTATCATTAAATGGATCGTCAATATGAGTTATGAGAGTGATCACAACGGTGTCGAGTAAGCAGTTTAAATATATTTAAGTGTTATATTATTTTAAGATTAGTGGCTTTTATTTTGTTTTCATTTAATTAATTTTTACAGCTATGAACGTTTGCCAACGCAGCCACAAGGTTTCAAGTACAGTCAACTGGCATTGAGTTCTGATTCTGATGTAGACGAAAGTTTTGATCTGGTTACGACGTCGACACATGTAAGTAAGAAAGAGGAGGAGAATTTTTAGCCAGTTTTAGATTGTAACCTTTGTCTCAGTTCTTCTTTCGTTTCTTCACTTTTTGGCTGGTGTCTACTAGGTTTATAAAGGAAAAAAGGTATATTTTTATTATCCAATTTATTGTGTAATAGGTTTTTGGAAAAGTTCTTCTTTAAAAAATCAGTATTGTCAGAAAGAAAAAAAACTGGAAATACGGGTGAGTTATAACATTATTTTTTATTTTTATACATTTTTCGTATCCATCTTAAAAAGCATTTGTGTGCCTCATTTCTTGGTCTTTTTATGTTCCTTTCTCTTTATTTGGGTTTTTTTACGCTGTTCATTTATATGTATGTATAAATTATAAATGATCACTTCTTGTCAAAGCTAGCTCTGAGATTCTGAAGTGAAATTAACATTTTTATGTTTATTTTTATTTCAATTTTTGAGCTTTTTTTCTAATCTGGCAATATCTTCAGTAAAGAAACAAAAAAAATCTCGATTTTGCTTCTGAATCTTTTTAATTATATTGCCTTACATAATATACTGGTAACTGTGCTCAATAAATACAGCAACAACAACAAAAAAATGTGCCTCTTTCTTAGAATATATTTCTGTTCTGTTAGGTATATTTCGTAGACTGATGCCATCGTTTTCCTGAAAGTTAATGTTTAGCAGAGGATTTCTTTGAAGTTTATTATAAAAATTCATACTCCAAAATTGTTATATTTTCCAACTTTTTTCTCAATTGTTTTCCAAGCTTTTTGCTTTTCAAATGGGCTTGTATCTGTCTTTCAACCTTTCATCTTCTTGCTTCTGTGAATCATTACCTTTTGTCGATTTTGTTAACCTTTTGGTAAATTCTGTTCCCCTTGTTGTTGTCGGTCTTTTTTTTTTTCGTTTCTGCAACGTGTAACAAATTGTTTTTCATCTTTTTTTTTTTATTTTGCCGTTGTTGTTGGTTTGAAGGGTTTTTTGTTGCTGTGTTTGCACAAATATACTTTGGTGTGGAACAGTCTGTTAGTTATTTGATTCGATGTTATAGAAAATTTGATTCTACAGGTCGTCCACTGTATTTTGCTCTTTTTTTCATTTCTTCAAGTGATTAAGTTTTATACAGTTAGGAAAAAGTTGCTGTTTTTTTATTGAATATAATTTTGTTTCTTATACTGTTATTATTATTATTATTATTATTATTATTGTTCTTATTTTTCTATTTGTTTTTGTTTCTATTATTTGTTTGGATTTCTTTATGTTGCTTAGTTTTTTTTTTTTTCAAAGAAGAAGAGGATAAAAAAGGAAAAAAGTTAGTATTTTTGATGATATTATTGTCAAATGAATATTTGGATAGTTTATTTGAATGCTAAAACAAAAAAATGGTTGTGATTATGATTTATATGGTGTATAGATTTACTCTGTATTATAACTGTCCAATGCGAAGTTTACGCAGCACAGATAATTGAGATTTACAGGTCATATTTTGAAGTTATATTTGAATATTTGAATTAATTTTAGGTAAATTTTGTATGTTACGTCGTTACAGTTTTTTTGTTTGCTTTGATGTTTTTTTATCTTTTCTATGTTTCTGAAATTATCTGTTGATATTGCTTTTTTTTTTGCATTTCTGTTTTTCTTTTGCTTTTCGATGTCCGAAGAAAGTATTAATTTTCTGTTTGGTTATAGACTGTATCTAAGAACATACAGGTTGAATGCCAAGACTTATTTGCATTGTTTTTATTGAGGAAAATGAGAAAATTCAAAGCAGAAGGAAAAAGATTGGTTTATAAGTGCTGTGATGCATAAAATTCAGTTACTCTCAAACGAGTGTTGACATTAATTGTTATTGATTGCTGCTTAATTGTCATACTTTTTTTTTTGTTGTTGAGGTGACATAAGTTTTTGAATTCAAAGAAAGAAAAGTGTTTTTTTTTTCAGTCGTTTTATTGGTGTTACACAGAGTATAAATTATTATTCACATAGCGTTAAATTTTCTTTTTTTTTGCTGATACACATTCTGAAACTACAACCGCAATGACAACATCAACAATATTAACAACCAATTGTTATTTACGATTTCGGTAGTTTTCTTTTTCTATCTTTAAAGTTCCGTTTTTTTTTGTCCATCTATTTGGTCTAATAATGACGGCAAATGTTTGTTACGTGTTTCCGGTAAAAATAGTGTCAAAAATCCAGCGATTACCGATAATATACCAAAAAATAACATTGGAAGAAATATGACAATTGATCTCTGAAAAATGTGTAAAAATAAATTTACAGTCATTTCGCAGGCCACTGCTAAGCTCTAATAACCATATGCTGTATAGGCTAAGTAGATTATTGATAACTTACAAGATGCCGAACATAGGGTGCCAGTATACCACCGATACGAGCCAAAATAGTACAGGAACCAATACAGGTATTCCTGATTGATGTTGGAAACACTTCGCTAGAGTATACAAAAATGCTCATAAAAGAACATGATATTGAAAATTTTCCCAAAAGCCAAAAACTGGTCGGTATCCAGCCAGGACCTGGAATACTGATTTATTTTTCCCACTTTTTTAGCTGCAATTATTATCGCTTGAAATCGGTGGAAGAAAAAGATGAAGAATTGTCTGTGTTTATTAGAAAGAAGAAAAAAGAACAGCACTGATACAATGAAATTTTTGAAATTCAAAGATAGTATAGATATTTTTTGGTTTTATAAATATGGCTTAAAAATTTAAAAAATTTAGCCTTGTTATGTAATTCTTTTATCTTGCAATAGTTTCATTAAAAATTTAGAATACCATCTGGTATGACGATAAATGCTGCCAAAGATATTCCAGCGAGAAAATGTGTTATAGCGACCACCGGTTTTCTGCCAAAACTAAAAAAAAAACTTTCTAAACTTAGCTCAAAACTCGTTGCTACAGTTATTTTTTCTTGCTTTTAAATTTTAAAGCAACAAAAAACTTTTACCGTTCAAGCGCCCAAGGTGACAGAATATATACTGGTAACTCAATGAGACCGGAAAGTGTATAATTCCAATAAACATTTCCAGCCAAATGTGTCGTATACAGTGATAATCCAAAATAGACAAACGTATCGCATGTCCTAAAACGAAAAAAAAAAAGTAACTTACAGAATTTTTGCCTAACTTTTTTGAAACATTTCAGCTGTTACATAGTTTTTACAAAAAAATTTTACATTAGTTCAACTCACCAAAGATACATCAAAATAATCAAATAACTGATGAACACTTTGTGCTCTCTAAGTTCTTTGAAGAACGATGACCTACAATTAGTGATAATGTAGTTGAGGTTTTATTTAAGCATATTACCTCTGCTTAGTAGAGCTTTTTATTCAAATTTATAGTTAAAAAAATGTTAAGCAGATATATTATTTCTAGCTGTAAATTGATTTTCAATGGTGCAAATTATCGCCGATGATTACCAGGATTTATCGCTTTCTGACTGCTTCGGTTGACCAGTTTTTTTGGTTCGTAACACAGTTTCATACATTATTTCATCGGCAGACAGTGTAATTTTTGGTATATTATAACGCTTGGCTTTATTAATCCACGCTCGGACTTGATCATCTTTGTTTTTCAAAACCAGAAAATGAAAACTTTCTGGCAATATGCTAAATTGTGCTAAAATTAATTGAAATAAATTCAAGTAAAGAGCAACTTAAATATATTTGCCAATTTTTATAGTAATGGTAAATGAAAAATTCTTGCTGAACGTTAAGTATTAAGAGATTTAAGTTAAATAGTATGGACTTACAAGATGAAAACTAGTGCAAAAATTGCAGTCGGAGCAGTATTTATTGTGCTAAGTAAGATCCAGTCTGGAAAATAATATGCAATTGGAGCAACGACACAGTAACCAAAAACCCAAAAGACTCCAAATGAAAATGCAGCGTGTTTACGGAGTTTTACTGGAATACACTCATAGGCTTGCACCCACATAACCAACAACAAAGCCTAAATTATTTGCTAATTCTTTGCCAATACTTTTTTGATATCTGCGAATTGTCAGTTGAATTTTTTAAATTTCTCATTTTTTCTTCTTTATCAAACAGTTTGTTTTAACTAACCGGAGTAAAAAGGCCTTGTAAAAAACGACTAATTGGGAGATATTTGACACCAAATAACAACGAAATTGTGTTTGTGAAAGGTAAGCTTATCATACCGAAAATAACAATTGGTTTTCTTCCAAATCTGAAATTTAGCATCGTCAAATATTTTTGGCTATAAAATTTTCAAAATTTAATTTACAAAACACTGCTGATAATACAATAGAAGAAAGAAATGGTGACACGAAAAAAATAAGGCCACTAAATAGATGTTGTATAACCTGTCAGATGCATAGGTAAGAGCACTGGCACCAAACATATTCCCAAACATAAACATTGAAGTTGAATGATCAGAAATTGTAGGTCCTTTTTCGTTGCCAGAATTCTGTAACGAAAAGCTTTTTCAAGAATAAAATCTATTGTACAATATGTTTTGTATATATAAACAAAATTGGATTAATTAATTCGACAGCAAAATGAAAAAAAAATATTCTGTTTTGTTCTTTTCTTTGAAAATAATAACCAGTGTATTGAGATAAGAAAGAATAATTCAGAAACCGTTTGTGAAAGAGAAGAAGACGTGGTAAAATTGGCGGAGGAAACAACAGTGGAACTATTTTGGAACAGATGTCTGGTTGACGGTGTTTCCAAATAAAATGCACTGTTCATAATAATCATAGCACCAAGTCCCCAGCTTAACGAAAATGCTATTGTTATAAAGTAAAGATATTTGTTTTTAACACCTGTAAATTGACAATATTAAAGCTGAGGAAAACTTTATTCAAAATTACTCTTTGGTCACAATATTATTTAAAGGCTTAAAATTTTGAATTTTTTCTTCACTTGGTCTCAGCAAATTTTAAGACTTAAAAAAAATAGCAGTTGAAATTTTATTTATTTAACAAACAGCTTTTTTCAGGTTTCTTTTGCCGACTAAAATATACTTATTTTTTTTTTTTTGTATTTTTTTGAAACATTGTTTAAATACTGTTTAAATATTGTTAGAAACTAATTTAACTTAATTTTAATCAAGCAATTATTCAATACAGTAGCAAATTCTTTTTCTTCTTTTTCGGACAGCTAAACAACGATAAAGGGTTTTTTTTTCTGTAAGCACATAACTGTAATAGTCAAATTGAAAGAAAAAAAAAAAAAGAAGGAATTATTAATTTGAACAATTAGCAAAAAAAAAACAATTTCTTTTCACTTACAAAAATTATTTTTCAAGCAAAAAAATTTAGAAAAACAACAAAACCGATATCTTCCAATATACTGTCGGCATCTCGAAGTTTTTTTTCGGCATCTGTACGACGATACAATAAACTGCTGTCGTCAACATCGGTTATATCAGTTGATAAATTTTTGCAGAAAAAATTTTCTGAATTTGTAGCCATTTGTTTTTTAACCTAATTGGGTTTTATCTTTTTTTTTTACTTTTATTTTTTTCCAACAATTTCCTAAAACTTTAAAAAACTGTTATATATTTGAAGAAACAACAAACAGTAACGACAACAACTACAAAGGCAATTCTTTTTTTCCTCATTTAAATGAATATACATAAGTAAGAAAGAAAAAAAAATAGGCAAAAAAAAAAGAAAAAAAAAGCAACAAATAAATGAATAAATAAATTTTGAAAAAAAAGAAAGAAAAACGAATAAAATTAGTTTTTTTTTTTTT